CCTCCTCCTCCTCCTCCTCCTCCTCCTCCTCCTCCGTCCTCCTCCTCCTCATCATCATCATCAGCAGCAGCATCAGCATCAGCACCATCAGCAGCAACATCATCATCATCATCATCATCATCATCATCATCATCATCATCATCATCATCATCAGCATCATCATCATCAGCATCATCAGCAGCATCATCATCAGCAGCAGCAACATCAACATCAACAGCATCATCATCAGCATCAGCATCAGCATCAAAAGCAGCATCCGCATCATCATCAGCATCATCATAATCATCAGCATCATCATCAGCAGCATCAGCATCAGCGTCAGCATCAGCATCAGCATCAGCATCATCATCAGCATCATCCTCATCATCAGAATACTCATCAGCATCATCAACAACATCATCATCATCATCATCCTTATCCTCATACTCATCATCATTACCATCATCAGCAGCAGCATCATCATGCATATTTGCCCCCAACTCCTCCTGCTCCTCTTCCTCCTCCTGCTCCTCCTCCTCCTCCTCCTCCTCCTCCTCCTCCTCCTCCTCCTCCTCCTCCTACCCCTCCCCGTCCTCCTCCTCCGCGAACCCCCGCGCGCGTGGAACGAAGACGACCCCGACCACGACCACGACGACCAAGACCAAGACCACGACCACGACCACGACCACGACCACGACCACGACCACGACCACGACCACGACCACGACCACGACCACGACGACGACGACGACGACGACGACGACGACGACGACGACAACGATCTCGACGACGAAAATTACCATCTCGACGACGAAAATGACGACGACGCCGAAACGACGAAAAGGACGGCGACGACGACGACGCCGACGCCGACGCCGACGCCGACGACGCGGCCTCCCCCCGCGCCCCGGGGGGGCGGGGATCGCGGAGCTCCTCGCAGCTCGCCGCGCTCGAGCAACCGCACGCCTCGCGGGGGACGGCGGCCCCCCGTCCTCGTCGCCGCCGCCGCCGCAATCGCTGCCGCCACCGCCTCTGACGCCGCCGCAGCCGCCGTCGCCCCACGCACCCGCCGTTTTCGTCGTCGTCGTCGCTACTGCCACCGTCGCTGCCGCCGCCGTCTCCGTCGTCTCCGTCGTCGTCGTCGTCGTCGTCGGTGCGTCTGCCCGCCGATCCCGGTCCGCTGCCACGGGAAGACGGGCCAACGAAAAACACACATCATGCCGTTTCGCTCCAGCACTGCCCCTCTCTCCAGACCTGCGGGCCGCGGACCCTGACCTGGGCCAAAGGGGAAAAACAAGCGCGACTCTGCCGTTCCCGGCCGCATACGCGGCGCCTAGGCCGCACAAGCGAGCTTAACCACGGCGCACTGCTGATAGAGGGGGGGCGGGGAAAGCGGAGGGGGTGGAGGAGGGACGGACGCCGGCAGCCGCTTGGGAGCGCCAGGCCCCTCGGCATCGCTGCGTGCAACAACTGCCGGCCAAAAGAGCGGAATCCAATGTCGCTGGGTTGTTGCGCCACCCGTCTGGACGCCCGCCGGGCAGCGAGCGGCCACAAGCTGCCTGCCGAACGCGGCAAAAATTCTGGCCACCAATTCGGGAAGGGGGAACAAGCCCCTGAAGGTGGCGCAAGTTCTGGGTGCTAGAGCACTTGCACGCGGCCTCCAAACCCAGGAAAAGGAGAAAAGAGCAAGCAGGCAAACAAGCAAAGGCGGGGACGCCCGCGGAGCGTGAGCCACCAGAGATCAGACCCCGCCGTGAAGCGCGCGCGCGGGGCGGGCGGAGGAAGGGACGGGGGCGCAAGAGGTGACGGGGGATGGCGCGGCCGGGGCCGCGGCCGGGGCGCAGGCGGGCCCGCCCTCACTCGTCTGCGCCTTGGCCGGGCCACCCCGCCCTGACGTGGGCGGCCGCCCGTCGCCAAATCGGCACGACAGCCGCGCTGGCCAAGCGGCAGCACTCGCCCCGCCCAAGCACCCCCTCCGCTGGGCATAGCGGGTCGCGGGCGCGCAGAGGATGAATGCCGCCCAGGGACGGGGCCGGCCGTAGGCTGACCACACTAAGCGCCGCGAACCCGTGCCCCAACGCCCACGCGAGCACGCCCGCGGGCCGCAGACGGGTGCCCGGGATAAGGTTTTACGCCTCGAGCTCGGTGGCGTGGTCGCAGCTTTCGGCAGCCTCGTACACTTGCCGCGCAAGCGCGCGGTGGCCCTTCGCGGCCGCGGCCTGGCCACAGCAGAAAGCGCGCGAGCCCGCGGACTCGAGCAGCGCGGAGCCACAAAGGTGGCACGGGGTGGGTTCGCCGGGGCCGGCGGCGCCGAGTCGAAGTCCACGCGGTCGAGGAGGGCCCCTTCTGCTAGCTGAGGACCCAAGCAGCTCGTGAAAAATGCTACGGTGGCTGACGTCCTCAGAGCGTCGCCGCGCCAGGTCGCCACCGGCCTGTGCGCGGCGCTCGCGAAGCCCCAGGCGCGCGCGCGTGTGTCGAGGCGGGCCACGACTATGCCGTTGTCCATGCGCTGGGGTCGGCC